CCTACTCCCTCCCCGGACTCCCCTGATAGGCCTCCCCTCTCCCTCCTGATGTTCACTGTCCATTTCTTCCATCTTTCCTTCCCTCCGGCTCAGGCGAGGCTGGGCCTCCTCTTTGCTCTGTACATATTCTAGGCTCCAGCAAAAGTTTCTCTTACTCCTTTAATCAAAGGGAGAACAATTTGATTGTGTAAAACACAGATGAATAGGGTATTTTTAGAGAAATTTTATTTTATTCAATACCAGAATATTCACCGCCTGCTAAGAGATACACAGAATAAGAGCTCTGGAAGCCTTTGATAAACACAAATTAAATATAGCCCGTGTATTAGTTATGAGGGAAGAGTAAGCTTTGGGTTTGGTTGTTGATTTGTTATTATTGAGGTCATTTGTTTTATTTTCACAATGTTTCGCTAAGGAGCACAGGCTGGCCTTGAACTTGAGATCTTCCAGGAAAAGCCCTCATTCTTCAGATGACTAATACTTAATCGGAGTTAATCTGAGCCTTGGCCAGACAGTTACTGCTAAAATACAGGGAGGAGGGGGAAAAAACAATGCCGGCATTGTAAACCATTTTTGTGCGCTATAGTAAATGTTTTGGGGCAGGAAGGTACTATGTCACTAGTAACAACAAAAGTCTCATACTGCTAGAAACTCTGGGCATATTACACGAAGAATATAAAGAAAACATTAAAGGGTAGGAGCTGGAGATGTGGCTTAGCAGGCAGAGTGCTCGCCTAGCATGTACAAGGACCTGGGTTCAATTCTTAGCAGGTGCAGTGGCACTTTTAACCTCAGCGCTCCGGAGGTAGAGGCAGGCCATCCTGGGCTCAGCAAATCTGAATTCAACCTGAGATCATGAACCCTTGTCTCCGAAACCAAAACTGTGTTTGATTAACCGTGGTGGCTTCGATGTCCACTTGATGACAGTTCAAGTTAAAATAGTTACTTAGGAGAAGGTCCATCACTAATGATCATCACTGCAGTAAATCTGTTCCGAGAAGACTTCAGGATCATTTTGCTGAGGGTGTAGCTCAGTAGTAGAGTGCCCTGGCTTCAAATACCAATAACTCACACTCACACCCACCCACACTCACACACACACACACACTGTCACACACATACTCAGATACACACATACACATGCTATTACACACATACTCACACACACACACACACACTGTCACACACATACTCACATACACTCTTACATACATAGACACACTCTTACACACGTACTCACACACAATCATTTTAATTTGTTTTAGTCACTGTTTTATTTTCATTTCCTATCAGATTGTTGTTTTTGCCTCATGCTGTGGGAAAAGGAAAAGTCGTAAGAGAAATTAGAAAAATACCAATTCAACCACTGGTATGATTTGATATTATTTTGCAGTTTTAATTTTTTTTTAAGTTTTTTTTTTCAAGAACCTTGTTCAGGTATCCATTTTGTGAGGCTCAGCATAGGGTAAGCCTAAATAAGATACCAATAAGCACAACTTTACTGTGCCTCATCACATCATGCTGAAAGCACAGGTGAATAACAGGAGCCCTTCTGATCCGTCGGCTTCTACCCACACTTCCTCGCGGCGTGTGCATTGTCTGACGTATGGACTAGATGAGGCGGGAAGACGAGCCACTCTGATTAATCATTAATGAGCACTTCTGTCTCTGTAGGTAGACTTCAGATAGAAACGGAAGTCCTCCTCTTCTTGCCCCCACCACCCTGAGGACAATCTGGAGGCTGCCCTAGGCTGAGCACCACTTGGAGGCCCTTTGTCAATAAAGCTCTTTGTTTCTCCAATATATCCCTAGATGGGATCTTTCCTGACACTTCCCCCCCACCTCCTGCTGAGCCAAAGCTGAAGGAATGCCTTGCACAGTCTGCAAACTGTGAAGGGCCATGCATCTGAGTGAGCGGCAGTTGGTGCCATTGTATGCAGTAGGCCAGAGCGTGTGGGGACCTTGCCCCTGACACCCCCCACCACTGCTCTCCCCTCTGCACAAACACCCAGTAGGTCTCTCCCTCACCAAAGAATGTGTCCCTCCCTCTCCCTGTTCTTTCCCATCTCGCCAATGACTCTTAAGGAAAGGAAGTCACAAAACCATTTCATGTCGAAGTCAGAATCTGAAGTTGACATTGAGATCACTCAAAATCCCATTCTGGTTCCCGCCCCCCAATGCCCGCCCCCCAGAGCTGAGGAATGAACCCAGGGCCTTGCACTTGCTAGGCACGTGCTTGACCACTGAGCTAAATCCCCAACCCCTCCCATTCTGTCTTTAAGTCTCAAAAAAAAACAAAGAATAACTGCTTGTTATATGTCCCTGCAAATGCACATAAGCATGTATACATGTGTCTACAGTCATGGATGTTATTAAATACAGGACCCACACAGACAAATAGCTGTTGTCAGGCAAGACAGACATGTCCCAGAAAAGTCAGAGGTCTACCCGGGCCTGCTCAGCCTCCAGCCCCTTTGCCTGAAGCCAGCGCTTGGTGGTGGTGAGAGGTTGAAGGTATTTGTATCTGCTGACAGCAGTGGAGCAAAACAGAGAACAAGAGTCAGGCTGTGTACTCCTGACTCATCCATTCTGCCTCTAAGGGGACAGTGTTTAGTCGGCCCTTGGATCTGATTCCTCATTGAGGTGATAATGACCTAAATCCCATTCAGGGACTTTCTACACCAGCTGTTCAAGCTGGAGGGAATGAAGTGGGTGAGGAATTTGTGGTCCTTCTGTATCTTCATGTCACTGGGTGACTAAGGACCAAATGCAAGTTTCAGAAATAAGAGGGCAGAGCAACGCACAGAGCAGAGCCCCTGCCTTCCCAAGTGGGATCAGCTAAGAGGACAGGGTTCCAAATAAAATCCTACCCTCCCTTTTGCTACCTACCTCATGTTTATCTCAAGACATACTCTTAGATAAGGGTGGGTGGAAGGGCCTTGGCATCAAGATAAACTTACAACAATAATGGTGATAGCCGTGGAATCTATCTGTTCTGCACATTGTGCTAAGGAAGGCTTGTTCAAAACACTTGTCAAATATTGTGATGGTCTGAGTAACAATGCCCCCCCAAGGCCCATAGGAAGTGGCACGATTAGGAGGTGTGGCCTTGCTCAAGTAGGTGTGGCCTTGTTGGCGGGCATGTGTTGGGGGGCAGGGCAAGCTTTGAGGTCTCAGATACTCAAGCCAGGCTCAGTGTGGCTCACTGTCTCTTCCTGCCAATCTATATGTAGAACTCTCAGCTACCTCTCCATCACCCTGTCTAACTGACTGTACACTGTCATGCTTCCTGCCATGACGATAATGGACTAAACCCCGGAAACCATAAGCCAGCCCTAATTAAATGCTTGCCTTTATAAGAGTTGCTGTGGTCTTAAAACCCTAAGATAAACATGGTGTCCATTCACCCAGTAGTCCTATGAGATATTGAGCATTCTTACCGTCAGACAAGGAGCTGATGCTCAGAGGGTCTTGGTAAGTATCCCAAATCCACACTACTCAGGAAGAGCCAGGATTTAACCCATATCCACCTGCCTCCAAAGACCATGGCCTTAACCACTCACTGTTCTGGAGACCCAGGTTAGAAATACAACACGGCAATTATTTGGTGGCAGGCATGATCTTCTCAGCAAGTGAGCAAAGGTGCTACCCCCTCTCCTTCCATCCATTCTTTCAGTAAATGCTCATCAAATATCTGCATGCTGGACACCATTCTAAGTGCTGTGAGCACAGCAAAGAACAGAACAAACAAGTTTCTCTTCTTCTAAATCTCGGGACTGATAAGGGAAAGCAGATGTCTTAGCTTTTTATTGCTGTGATGAAACACCATGACCAAAAGCCACTTGGGGAGGAAAAGGTTTATTCTACCTTACACTTCCACATCACACTCCATCACAGAAGGAAGTCAGAGCAGGAGCTCCAAGCAGGCATCTGGAGGCAGGAACTGATACAGAACCTGATACAGAGGCCATGGAGAAGTGCTGTTTTTACTGGCTTGCTCTGCCTGTTTTCTCTGCCGGTTTCCTTTACAATTCAGGACCGCCTGCCCGGGTAGCACCCACAGTGGGCTGTGCCCGGGTGGCACCCACAGTGGGCTGTGCCCACCCACATCTATCATTAATCAAGAAAACGCCCCCACAGACATGCCCATGGGCTAATCTGATGGAGGCAATTCCATCATTGAAGTTCCGTCTTCCCACTCTTAGATAAGGGTGGATGGAAGGGCCTTAGCATCAAGATAAAATTATAACAATAATGGTGATAGCCGTGGAATCTATCTGTGTCAATTTGACAAAACAACCAACCAGCCTAGTAGATAACAAATCAACTCATACACAATACACCAGGAGTGCTAAACACCACAAAGAAAAATAAACAGGGGAAAAATGGTGTAAATGGTACATGGTGGGGAAGAGAGGTTGCTATTCTGGATGGCTAGAGTACTCAGGGCAGCCCTCTGGTGACACTGTGCTGAGATCCGAGAGTAAGGGATAGAGCCATGATGGTATCTGGTAGCAGAATGTTTCAGAGTGCAGGGCAGGGGCCAGACTTGCCAGGCTTTTGGACTCTCAATCTAGCATACCCCTTCCCTACACTGCAGGACAACAGTATCCTAACCTAACAGTGAGGAAATTCACAGAGAAAGCCAACGGGTGAACTCTGCTTATATCAACTTACATGAGGTTCTTGGTTTTTTTTTTTAATTAAAAAAAAATGTCATGCAATATATTTTGATCATATTCTTGCCTCCCCCAACTCCTCCCAGATCCTCCCCCATCTCCCTACCCACCCAACTTTACATTTTCGCTCTCTCCAAAAAAAAAAAACCCACAAAAACAAAAATCAAAGCAAACGACAACAAAATAAGACAAAAATGCCAAAACAAAAGGCCCACAATAAATAAGGAAATACATAAATAAATGTGGAGTTCATTTTCTGTTGGCAACTACTCCTGGGTGTGAAGCCTCCCCCTCCCCACCCTCCCACTCCAGTGTGGTTGATATACCCAGTGACACTACCTTGGGGAAAACTGGAGTTTTTTCCCCCTTTTCCAGCCAGGTATCAATGGCAAATAGGTTCTTGGCTAAGGGTCGCACCCTGTGTCCACTTCTCCGTCTCAGTGCCAGGTACCCATCTGGCTTGGACCTGTGCGGGTCTCACAGGTGTATGCTGCCACAGTCTCTGAGTTCATATGTGCATCAGTCCTGTTGTGTCTGGAAGATGCTGTTTCCCTTGATATCATCCATCGCCTCCGGCTATTAGAATCTTCCCACTTCCTCTTCCACATGGATCCCTGACCCTTAAAAGGGGAGATGTTGGATGAAGACATCCCATTTAGGACTGAGGACTCCAAAGCCTTTCATTCTCTGCACGTTGTCCAGTTGTGGGTCTCTGGGTTAATTTCCATCTACTGCAAAAGGAAGCTTCTCTGATGATGGTTGTGCAAGGCACTGATCTATGGGTAGAACAATGTTACATGAGCTTCTCAATCCTCACACGGCTCTGGAAAATCCACATACACTAGTGATGTCTGCAATTCCAAAATTCAAGCTACGCTGCCTGGATCCTGATTCCCACTTAATCCAAATAGTATGCTTATTAACAAGCTCTTTACACCCCTACCCTCCAGAAGAAATTAAACTCCAAGTGGTACCAGAAATCCAGTTGTCAAATTCTCCCATAGCAGGGACAAAACATATCAGCCCGGTGGGTTAATAGGTCCAGGGACAGCCAACAGATGAGGCATGAGTCTGATTGGAAGCTGTCCGAGCTTTGTGGGAATGAGTCTGTCAGCAACGTACCACTTCCCCGGATTCAGGAAAACAAAATGAGGAGGTTGAAAATCAGACAGAGAGGAATAGGAAGAGTGTTAAATGCAACTGCAATCTGCATCTCCCCACGGTAAGGGCTTCGCAGTGTCAATAAATATGCAACCAATTAATGTAATTGCAGAGTTATTTACGGCGCCCAGCAAAGCGCAGCTGCATCCTAAAAGACAAAGTTGGAAGCAGGTTGGGGGCAGGGGGTGAATCTGGTTTTTTTTTTGGGGGGGGGGCGGTGTTTGTTTATTTCATTTTATTTGGTTTTTTGATGTGTAGTTTTGCTAGTTGAGGTGTTTGTTTTGTTTTGTTTTTGCAGGGTTTCCCCTCCTCATCTTGCAGATGTTTCAGAAACTTGTGGTGTCCATGTGTCTGGTGGCCCCGGTTCCTCGCAGTCAGTTTGCAGGTGTTCCTGCTGGGGGGGTGGGGGAGCCAGCGAGGGGGAAGCTAGGGGGAAAGCTAAAGGTCCTCTGACTTCAAACTGTGACCTGACATCCAAGCCTTTTTCAAGGTTCCTTCCTCTGACTGTGCCTCAGTCCTAATCCTCCTGCGTTGACCCTTTCCATAACAACCACCAAAACTCTCTTTTCCTCCCTGGCCAGCGACGACGGGATTGTTTGGAGGAGCAGCTGTGTCCCCATTCAGCCCCTCCTATAAGACAGGTTCTAATTAGAGTTATTGACGGGTTTGAATTGGCACAATTAGGGCCATCATTAATGGGGTCTCCATGTGTTCTTTTGAACAGTTCGGCCCTGTTTTTTTTTTGTCCCAGGGCAGGAGGGGGTTGCGGCTAATGAAGTTGGAGAGTGCGAACTATCTCAGCAAAAGGAGGGCCAAGGGGAACCACCCAGGGGAGGGGAGCCACTCAGAGGGAAGAAAAGAAAGCAGTTACACATGCCGGACACGCACATTCTCACACACTTATTTTCGTGTCTTCCTTTTGTGAAATGGCCCTTTCAGAAGTCATAGCCACCAAATGGGAGCCACTGCCTAAGAGGGGACTCCAGAAGCTCTGCACCAAACCAGTCAGGGATGTTTGTCAGGAGAATGGCGTGCTACAGAGCGCACCTATAGACAGGCTTCTATGTATATGGATGTATGAGGGGCAGAGACCCATGAACACAAACTTCAGTTACCAAAACTTCTGCTAGGGACAGTGGCACAGACCTGTAACTCCAGCACACATGAGGCTTAGGCTGGAGGAGAGTGACTTTGAGGCCAGTCTGGGTTACACAATGAAACCTTATTTTCTTTTTTTTTTTTTTTTTAAAAAAAAAGCCTAACCAAGGAGTCTGTGACCTTGCCAAGTCAGTTGTGGAGCCCTGGGCAGCCTGAGCCATTGACCCTGTTCTAGGATGCATTAAAGGAATGGTTCTCAACCTATGGGTCACAACCCCTTTGGTAAACCTCTATCTCTGAAAATATTTACATTACAATTCATAACATTAGCAAAATCACAGTTATGAAGTAGCAACAAAAATGATTTGATGGTCGGGGGTCCCCACAACATGAGGAATTGTATTAAAGGGTCACAGCATTAGGAAGGTTGAAAACCCCTGCATGAAAGCATTAGCAATGTAGCCATGAAACCATACTATACGTGAGTTCACAAGATCTGGGTAGGAGTGGGGTTGGTGAGTTTTGTTATTTATAAAACTCCAGGATGCTGATCAAGGGGCTGAGTGTGGGGTCAGCACTAAGTCCCAGCACTTAGAGGGCAGAGGTAGGAAGATCTCTGTGAGTTCAAAGCCAGCCTGATTTACAAAGCCAGCTCCAGCTCCAGCACAGACAGGGCTCCATAGAGCAACACTGACACTGTGTTTATCTAAGTTGTTCTATTACCAATTAAAGACTGGGGAGTCACATATTGGGGTGAAAACCTGATAAATCAAAGAAGCAGCAGAAGAGGAACCAACTGACCTCCTCTCCACACTTCCCAGATCAAAGAGACCTCAAAATCTCTAAGTTTTTCCCTGTGTTTCTTCTCTATCCATATTCTTGGCTTCTGTATGGCTAATTCTGGCCAGCTAGTTAACTCTATTAACACAGTCTTGGGGTGTCATGGTGCAATCAAATGTCCCAAAACACCATCTCAAAAAAAAAAAAAAAAAAGCCAATTCTCATATTCTCATAGTCCCAGTGTCAACCCCCAGTCTAAAAAAAAAAAAAAAAGCTAAGCTTTGAAAAGTTTACCCTGAGCTGCTCCCGGTCTCACTAACCAGCTTTGCTTACACACACTAAATGCATTGTCAGTCACCTGTCAACAGGAAAACATCATCACACATCTCCATAGTACTACTGTTTGCTTCTTGGCATGAATACATTTGTCTGTGAGACATACCCCCCAAAAGAAAACCCTAACCTTTCACCCTCTGAAATGCTGTTACCTTTCCTCTCCTGTTCTCTCTGCGGCTCTCCTCCACTCTGGGGGTTCAACCCTCTGCACATCTTCACCCAGACATAAGCCCAACAGGATGCAGCCAGGAGGTTGCTGAAGACAGGCCTACATCCTGACGATCACTGGTGCCTGTAGAAAGGACCTCCTGAGGTGCCTTTCTATCATGTCAACTGAAATGGAATAGGAATTCCGAAATAAGGACCGTAAATACATTGAAGCCCAACTGTGTAGGAGAAAATTAAGCATTGAACTCAACAGGCCTCAGGTCAGTGTGGCCCCGGAGCCTGTTGCTGGCTTTGGAGCAGCCCAGTAAGCTTTGGGACCTGGGGAATGGGATGCTTCAGTAGGTTACGCCACAGAAGGGGCATAGAGGGGGAGATAGGGGGATCACTCACAAGTTGCAGTCAAAAATGGAAATCAGGGCATATGTTCTTCCCAGCATGGTGGCCCAGCAACGGGCTGCCCCAAATGAGGTCCCCTCCTTACTTATTTCAGTGCCAGGCTGAGGCTCTATTTTGTCCTGGTAGTGCCCAGTTCCTTCATGCCACCTTCAACAGGGTGTTCCTTCATGTTTTAGGCTCCTCCGGTGGCCTATGTGCCCCACTTGGGATAGCCTTAGTATAGAGAAGCAGAGCAGACAGTTGGGGGGACTGTGTGTGGCCACTCTCCACCCAACAGGGCCCCTAAAATGCAGACAGACAGACACCCAATTCAAAATGCCTTGCACTCTACACGCCTTTGGAATCGGTGTGAAATTTAGCCTTGTCTGATTCCGACCACCCTTCTGCACGTACCCTACAAACCACAAGACTGAAGTTTAAGACCCCAAGAGGTATCCCTATTGTTTCCCTAAAGATTAAATTAATGAGCCCAAAGAAGGCTTGCTTGCCAGCACATGCAGCATGCTGGACTGCTTTAAAACAGTGGCAGCTCTCCCCAGGGGGCCTTAGACAAGGTCTGAACACATGTTTGGGGGTCACACCTGAAGGGCAGAGGCCAGGGAGGCTGTCAAACATCCTGAGACACACAAGACAGCCCTTGCAAGAATGATCCCAGCTAGAATGTCAACAGTGCCGAACACCCAGCTTTAAAGTCATAAGCACCTGGGTTCAAACTCCAGCTGTACAAATTCAGCAAGTCGGTAGGCTCTCCAACCTGGGTTTCCACATCTGTAAAGGGGAGTAAACATTGTATTTGCAGTTAAAGTAATCTCTGTGCTGGAGACGGAAAAAGATTCCTTAAAAAAAAAAAAAGAGTGCACTCAAAGCTAAGCATGATGGCACAAAACTTTAATCCCAGCACTCAAGAAGCAAAAGCAGGCGGATCTCTATGAGTTCAAGACCAGCCTGGTCTACATAAAGAGTTTCAGGACTACTGTCAGGGCTATAGAGAGAGACCTTGTCTCAAGAAAGGAAAAAAAAAAATTCCACTTAAAGAGTGTGACAATTGGGTCATCACACATGATGTCGTTCAGCCCGGAAATTGTTTCTGACACCTGGACCTGCCACCTGCCTCCTTACCCAATGTTTGGGACTGACGCCCTTAGAAGAACCCTTCAGGCCTCCCTGTCTTCCCTAGGACATCTGGGCCTTCCGCAAGCCCAGCTGCATCACGGTCGGGTTGCGTCCGTCCGCAGACCCACGGTGCGGGTGGACGTGGACGGCGGCCTCATTTCCGGTGACAGTGGACTTGAGCAGCCTGCCTCTCCTTTGGAACCGCACAGCGGGTCCAATGCCAATTAGCTGAGCCTGAAAAATGAGTGTGCTCTCCGCTCTCCGGGGGAAGGCAGGGTGCCCCCAGCCCGGCCTGGGGTTGCTGCCCTGTTCCCCCTATTGTGCCTCCAACAAGGGCGTTTTATTGAAAAGAGCTGAGTGCATCTAATGCAGTTATCCGTGTCCGCCCCATCGAGCCGTGGGCTGGGGGCAAGGCGCGCAGCTGCCGCCGCCTCACACGCTCTCAACAAAGGAGGGCGCCGTGGAGAATTTGCTCCCCTTTGAACGGCTCATCTGGTTTCCATTTCTGAAAGGTTCCCCAATCTTTGCTTCCACCCAGCCCCCACTCCAGTGAGGGGTAGGAGTTGGGGGGGGGGGGCTACACACCTCCCTTTGCTCCAGCTGTGCCCCTGGGGGAGGGTTCCCCATGTTCCTGTGCCATCATCCCTCCCTCATGCCTGTGGGAGGGATGATGGCATCCCTTTGCATGGGCCGGGACCAGCTGGGCAAACACACCTGGTTTGCCAGTGGCCTGTGCCACCTTCCCAGATCTGAAACTCAGGTTTCCCCATCTTTAAAATGCCGTGTCTGGAAGCCACCTTGATGGCTTTCAACCCCCAAATTGAGAAGGGGCAGATTTGTAAAACATTTGGCAAGTGCATAATAGAATAATTAAGACAATTTAAATAGCCTTTAATGTCACAGTCCAAAGCCAGCCATGAGCTTTGCAGAGTATTTTCCCTTGGTCTTCTTTGAGCATTAGAAGTCATGAATAAAATTATCACTGTATAATTGGAGTCACATTGTGTATCTGGTTTTATCTCCTGTCTTTATTTATATCAGGGCGTTTTTGTATGTTCATAGTCTTTGAAAATGTGATATTTTTAAACGGCTGCAAAATACAGCATCCTGGGCTTTACCACAACTGATTTAACCCGTTCCTCTGTCTTTGTTTTTGTTTTTGTTTTTGTTTTTTAGGGTTGTTTCCCCCATTTGTTTAGGTGGTGGCCGTGACTTTCTCCCCAATGCTACAATGTAGAGGGCTATTTAAAAAAAAATAATAATAGTCAAATCCTCAAGTGGCTTCTCAAATTGACAGCTGGATCTCAATCTGTTCTCTCACTACAAATCAAAGGCATGAGGCAGGCACTTTTGCATGACTTCCTAAGACTATGACAGAGGGAGAAAGTCATCCTGGTCTCCTCCCCTGCCTGACACCCCCAGGCACCTGCAAGATGGAAACTCACATTTCAATCATGGCCCCTGAAAAATTATAGCCCTGGGTAAACTATAAAAGTCTCAGCGCCCTCGGTGGCAAGGCAGAGGCCATCACAGCGCCCTCAGAGGGCTGCAGCGAACACCACGCACACAGTACTGAGCGTGTGGCAGGAAACAACGTTCTGTCCCACTTACTGATGGTGTGGTACTGGTCTATTTCCCCAGTTCCTCTGGCGCCTTGTTGAGTAAGATGAGCCTCCCCCAGGAATGTCTCTTTCGTCCCTCAGGACCAGCCCCTTCAAACCCCTTTATCCATGCATAGTCCTTACTCAGAAGGCAGGGCCCTGGGGAGATGCTGGGTGCCCAGGACATCCTCCAGATCTCCACCTGCAGTACAGCCTTTGCTTCTGGACTCGGCATTGCCTCCGGCTCAAAGAAGGGGCACAGGGTAGAAGTGAGGAAGCTGCCTTCCCACAACTGTCAATCTCCTCCCTCACCTTCTTCGGACCTTCTATTTATTTGTCCAGATAAGTGGTGCCATCATTAGCAGCCACCACGGACAAAGTCCCCATCAGATGTTTAGACCCTGCAAAGTGTTATTATGATGTCTGTGAATTATCAACCCTCCAGGTAACTGGGTATAAAAACTGAATCAGGCCGGGCGGTGGTGGCACACGCCTTTAATCCTAGCACTCGGGAGGCAGAGGCAAGTGGGTCTCTGTGAGTTTGAGGCCAGCCTGGACTACAGAGTGAGTTCCAGGAAAGGCACAAAGCTGCACAGAGAAACCCTGTCTCAGAAAAAAAAATTCACTCAAAGGACTGGCCTCATGGCGGTCTGACCACAAAGTCCTCCTCTTCCCAGGACACTATATGACCTGGGCTCTGTTATCCATGGAACTGAGTTGCAGCATCACCTTCCTGTATATGCCCTGAGGAACCTCAGAGAGTGAGGAAGGTGTTGAGTCAAGGTTGTCAGATTTAGTAAAGAAAAAGAACGGGCCATGTACCTGGTTAATTTGAAGTTCAGATAAACAGTTAATAGATATTTAGTATAAAAATATATTCTCATGTGATATTTAAGATACATTTAATATTCTTTATTATGGCAGGTGTGGTGGCTAATTCCAGCACTCTGGGGATAGAAGCAGAAAGATCTCCATGAGTTCAAGGCCAGCTTGGTCTACAGAGCGAGGTCCTAGCCAGCCAAAGCTACACAGAGAGACCCTGTCTCAAAAAACAAAAATAATTTCATTACTTACTTAAAATTCCACATTAATTGAGTGCCATGTGTTTTATCTGACAACTCTAACTTGGGAGATATTTATAGTCACCAGATAATTGTAAACACTTCTTAGCCACCAGATTGCATCACAATGATGTCATCATCTCTTTTTAAAATTGATTATTATGGTATGGATTCTTGCTGTGTAGGGGGAGTGCATGTGTGGGTGACTTGGGTGTGGAGGTCAGAGGACAACGTTGTGGAGTCACTCTCTCCTTTCACCTGCACGTGGGTTCCCAGGATCGAACTCAGGTCTCCAGGGTTGCACAGCAAGCGCCTTGGTTTGCTGAGCCATTTTGTCAGCCCACAAAGTCACCTCCCTGACAGCTCAGGGGTTAACTGACTTGCCAAGATCATGGGCTTAAATCTGATCTGCACACAGCCCCAAGCCTCCTGAAATTGTTATAGAGCTGAGTAAAATGCTTACTCTGACCCAAGGGAGAATCTGTGCCTTCGTGTACAAAATTGTCACTCACCTGCACTGACTTTAGAAAAATGTGAGCAACGTGTGCAGTTTTTCACAAGCAATACAACCAAAACCGTCTCTTCTTTTAAAATAAGAATCTTCTAGTTATAAGTGACGGAATTCTTAACATCAACTGACAAGAAGGAATTGATTGATCGTGTCAACTGGAAACTCCAGGGGACCATGTTGATGGGAGTACATCACAGGAGTACTGTCAAGATCCCCCCCGGTGCTCAGAGTTGGAACAGTTTGAGCAACAGAATAATAGGGTTGGGTAGTAACTCAAAGGATCGGCTGGGATGTGGCTCAGTTGTTAGAGTGCTTGCCTAGGTTCCATCCCCAGCATCCCATGAATCGATCATGGTACCACCTGTAATCCCTGGGAGATGGGGGTAGGAGGATCAGAAACTTGACTGAGTTCCTCCTTAGGTACACAGGGACTTTTTGAACAGCCTGGGATATACGAGACCCTGTTTTTAAAATAAAACATAGGTTAGGGCTGGAGGAACGACTCAGCAGTTGAGGGCACTGGCTGCTCTTCCAGAGGACCTGGATTTGATTTTTAGCACCTACATGGCAGCTCATAACCATCCCTGACTCGGGTTCCAGAGGATCTTACTCCCTCTTCTGGCCTCTACAGACACCAGGCATGCATGTGATGTACAGATATTCATGCCAGCAAAATACTACAAACATAAAATTAAAAAAAAATACTAGAAATCCTTATTTACATAAAAACAACTAAACAGATAATGTTGCAAAAGAGAGAAATCTCCCATTCAGAAGCATGCCAAATAGTTAGAGAGCTACTGTACCCTCAAAGGGAAGGAATATAAGACCCACTGGTTAAAAATTGGACATTGTGTTTAAGAATGAGATGGGCACAGCAGCTTCCTTCCAAAATACAGTATGAAACAGGCCACAGGCAAAGTAACACCACAGTGGACAAATGACAGACCCTCACTGAGCCATGTGACCAAGGCCAACATCAGCAGCAACAGGCCATGCTGATGTCATGTGGTAAGGGGACACCTTATATCTCTGGTCATCTTCCAATAATATTCAACTCCAGTCCACTTCTGAGGGGGAGACATAAAAACCTCAATTGAAGGGCATTCTACATTTCTGATCATCATTCATCAATACTGTCAAAGTCATCAAAAATAAGGAAGGCCTTAGAAACTGCCACAACCAAGAGGAACCCAAGGAAGCAGGACTGTGGTGGTTTGAATTAAATGGCCCCCAAAGGGAGTGACACTATTAGGAGGTGTGGCTTTGATGGAGTGGGTGTGGTCTTGTTGGAGGAAGTGTGTCGCTGTGGAGGTGGACTTTAAGGTCTCCTTTGCTCAAGCTTCACTCAGTGTGAATTTCAAGCCACTCAGTGTGACACTCAAGCTTGGAAGATGTAGGACGCTCAGCTCCTTCTCCAGCACCATGTCTGCCTGCGTGCTGCCATGTCCCACCATGATGATAATGGACTCAGCCTCTGAACTATAAGCCATCCCATTAAACGGTTTTCTTTATAGAGTTGCTGTGGTCATGGCGTCTGTTCACAGCAATAGAAACCCCAACGAAGACGCATGATGAACAGAGTTTCTGTATATCCTGAAGGGAACCTTGATACAGAAAAAGAACATGGGGATGGAATTAAGAAAATTCAGATAAAAGATGGACTTTACTTAATAATAATATCCAAAATCACTTCATTAATTGTGACGAGGAATGACACCTAGCACAATGTCTTAATAACAGGAGAGATTAGGTGTGGAACACCTGAGAACTATCTGTGTTCTCTCTGTAAACTTAAAGCCATTCTAAAATTTAAAGAATATGACAAAAAAAAAAAAACCTATGTGGGCATCGGCTCTTGCAGAGAATCTGAGTTCAGTTCCCAGCACCCACACCAGGCCGCTCACAACTCCCTGCAACTGCAGCTCCTTGGGGATCCAAGGTCTCTGGCCTCCACAGTACTCACATGCACATCCACTCACCTACCCCCCCCCACACACACACACACATACACATATACAAATAATTGAAAATAAATAAACATCTTGGAGCTAGAGAGATGGCTCAGAGGTTTAGCACACTGGCTGCTCTTCCAGAGATCCTGGGTTCAATTCCCAGCAACCACATGGTGGCTCACAGCCATCTATAATGAGATCTGGTGCCCCCTTCTGGCCTGCAAGGATACATGTAGACAGAGCACTGTATACATAATTAAAAGACACTGTATACATAACATATAAATAAAATAAATCTTTAAATAAGTAAGTAAATAAATAAATACCATTTTTCTTAAGGAGAAAAAAAATAGCCAGACACTTCAGCTGTCAGTAGACTTAGAACTCAACATCCTTTCCCGATTCTGCTTTATCCAAGGCATATGACAGAGTATGGTAGCAGCGCCACCACTGTATCCTCTCCGGTCAGAGGTCAGCGGGTCAGAGCCGTCATTTCCAGGAATCCTTGGACCTCGATTTTCCTGGCTGATCACATGTTCAGTCACTGGGGCCCAAGGGACAAAAAGCCCCAGTTGGTCTATGTCTGTCATCTGTTTCAGCTTGAGACAGGGACTGATCGGGGAAGAAGGACACACACAAAACTTGAGGGCTGTCGCCCAAAGCAGGTCTGGTGGTCAAAATGACAAATGCCTGACGCCAACTTCAACATTTTGAATTTTGTTTTGTTTGATATAGAATCCCATTGTGTAGACGAGGCTGGCCTGGAATTCGTTAGGTAGACTAGGCGGGCTTTGAACTCACGGTGATCCATCTGTCTCTGCCTCCCAAGTGCTGGGAGCAGTGTGAGCCAGCACACCTGGTGACTCAAGTTTTCAACTTCACTTCAAGTTAAAAACTTGGACCTTACGGAGGGAACAAATAAGTAATTGTCCTATAAACAGTGGTTCTCAACCTGTCATATGACCGACCTATGAGATACCCTGCATATCAGATGTTTACGTCATGATTCATAACAGTAGCAAAATTACAGTTATGAAGTAGCAACGAAAATAACGATTGAGGGTCACTGTATTATATAACATGAGGAACTGTATTAAAAAGTTTCAACATTAGGAAGGTTGAGAGCCACTACCGTAAAAGAATATAAAAAGACCGCTGAGCAGGCTGGCTAAAGAAACACAGATTTGATATAGCCGTTTAAATGCACTTAAGTGCACTGTTCAGGAGTTCAGTTTCTTCCCCTTCTGAGCCAGTGTTCAGAGTGAGCTTGGCCTCACCAGGCAGGAGAACTCTGCTGGGACACCCGCTGGGACACCCGCTGGGACACCCGCTGGGACACCCGCTGGGACAGGGAGCTTTTTGGCTGAAAGCAAACCTGACTTGGATTCTGGTGCTCTTCCAGGGCATCTCCTGAGTCTGGCAGTGGCCTTTGTACCTCACTCTTATGGCCTTGGGTTCTCAGTCATCTTCAGAAAGGTGTCCTGAGTCCAATTCATGGTCTTCTGTGAGTCTGACTCTCGGTCTGAGTTCTCTGCCGGGAATGTACATGCAGCTTTCAGAGCCGAGGTAACAACAAATCTTGAGGTCCACAAACTTCCCCCCTAGCGCCACCAGTCAGAGGTCAGGCTCCTCCCACTCCTTGCCCTCTTCTCCGAAACTCCTTGAAGCCCTCTACCTTGAGCTCTTCCTCCATTCTTTGAGCCTTGGTACAGTGCCCGGGGTCATTCCTCTGGACGCCAATGACAATCAGCGCTAGAGAACAGTCTAGCCCCACCCCTCTACTGCCTACAGCTCCTGGATTTCCTTGGGGCTTAGTTTGCTCTCGGGTGGTCAGACAGGACACATTGCCTTTGTCCCCAGAGAGTTACAACAGGACTAAGAAGTCAAGAAAAATCTACGAAGCTGCTGCATATGAAGCCACCCCAGAGCTTTATGGAAGCATAGTCTTGGATTCTCAGCTCCAATGCCCTCTTCCGGCCTCCCCGGGCACCGGGCATACATGTGTACACATATAAGTGAGATACACATATAAGTGAGACATCCATACACACAAAATAATAAAAACAATAATTTTTAAAAGAACACAGTAAGCCGGGCGGTGGTGGTGCATGCCTTTAATCCCAGCACTCAGGAGGCAGAGGCAGGTGGATCTCTGTGAGTTCGAGGCCAGCCTGGGCTACAGAGTGAGTTCCAGGACAGCCAGGACTGTTACACAGAGAAACCCTGTCTTGAAAAACTAAAAAAATAAAATAAAATAAAAAAATGAAACAGAGCTTTGAGCGCCTGAAAGATGTTCAGATTATCTCTCGGTTTCTCCAGACTTGCCTCTCAGTGGCCCTCCAACTCCTCAGCACTCACCTCTCCCTCAGCATTTGCTGCCTTCCCCAAGCAGATCTGTGGTCAGTTAAAGAAGAAGTCGGCCTCAGACCAGTGGGAGGCCCCTTCAGCTCCCACTACCCATTGGTTTTCTTAGCCCACATGGAAGGCAGACCCAACTCTGCCCCATGCTATACAAACCTGACATCTTCATTTGTCTTTTTTTTTTTTTTAATTGTACCTAGCCTTGACTTTTAGAGACTCCATGGCTTGAAGAGGGTAAGCCAGAAAACCCACACATGCACACAGCATGAGGGGGGTGTGTGAGAGTGTGAGCAGGCACGGAAGGTGCCCCCCCCAGTCCACCTCCCAGGCCCTCTGGCTCTCCCATACCATTCCCAGGCACCTTCGGCAGGCCAGCCTCCAACACCTCAAGAGCCCCCCAGCTGCTGCCTCTCATCGGGTCTGGGAGAGGACCTCAGTGGAGCCGCAGTGGAGCCGCAGCTCACTGGCTTGTGTGAAAACAGCCCGGGGTTGGCCCCAGCACCTCACACCTGCACACTCCATTCTTCCCTGATGTTTACACATTGTCATCCGCAATTAATGCTTTCTAAGGAACTGTGGGGACCGATTGCCCCACCACCACCCCGGGACCCCATTCAGAGCCCTTGTGTCTGCTAAATTGAGCGTGTGGGGCCCTGCGATTAAATTAAGGCTTGTGGCTCTGGCCCTCCCGCTCACACTCCATCACTCCATCCCTCTCTGCCCCATTCCGCCTCCCTCCCCCCTCCCTCTCCCTTCCCCTCCCCCTCTCCTTTCACCCCCACCTCCCATTCCTGGGCCCCTTTGCAGCTTGAAAGCAGGAGGTGGGAAAGGAGGAAATGGCCCAGTCTGTGGACTGGTAGGGAGAGTAGACATTCATTTAGATTGGAGATAAAAGGAAATGAGAGACCCCTTGGTGAGAAGGCTCAGGAGGAGGAGACAGAGCTGGAACTGGGGCATTGACAGGGGAAGTGCTCCAGGGCCTTGGCTAGCTATGGAGGTATCAGGCTCTACAATCAGCATGTTCAGTCTCTACAGTCAGCAGTTCAGATGCCCCCAGCAGATCCGCCTGGGCTGGATCCCAGCTCTGTCCCTGTTTGGCTCTGGGATCCTGATTTGTGTTCAACCATTCTGGGTCTTAGTCTCTCTGTGCCAGGCAAATGACTCCCAACAGGCAATGAAGGGCCAGGCATCTTCAGGGGACAAGAAGCAGACCTTAGTCTTGGTGGAGTTCTACTTGGGCTTGATAATCTAGTGGCCATGAGTCCATGGAAACTAAGTGTTTATGAGCCAGATAAAAGGCATGGACTGCCCGGCAGTGGTGGTGCACACCTTTGATCCCAGCATGGGGTGGGGGGAGGCAGAGGCAGGTGGATCTCTGAATTCGAGGCCAGGCTGGTCTACAGAGTGAGTTCTAGGACAGCCAGAGCTACACAGAGAAACCCTGTTTAGAAAAACATACATACATACATACGTAAATGAATGAATGAATAAACAAAAATAGATAGATAGATAGATAGATAGATAGATAGATAGATAGATAGATAGATAGATAAGTAAATAAATAAATAAAGGCGTGGGCTACATCTTGGGGCCATGGTTCTCAAACACCACCAGGAGTCAGAACCCACCTGGAGTATCTTCAAAACACAGATGCCACAGTTCGGAGGCCATCTTCGGCATCTGCATTTTAACAGGAGTCACAGGTGAGACCAATATACCAGCCTGGAGAAACACAGGCAGGAAGGTGTTAGATGCCACCTCGAGACTTTCCCCACAGTGGAAGAAATCTTGACGTTTGTGTTCTAGAGGGAAAACTGGGGAGCTTTGGATTAAAAGAAGTGTGAGGATCCAGAGAACCACAGAATAATGGGGAGTCAAATGCAGCCCTTCAAATGCTGGGGGCTGGGCAGAGCCAAAGCAACGCAGGGAGGGTGGGGAAGAGGGGGTGCACTTGAGGGCTGGGGGCAGGACAGTGTCACCAACTGGGTGTGCAAGAGAGAAAAGGGAGACCAGCCTTAGAGTTGGTGGAGAAGGGCGGGGTCTGCTGCAGGGCAGGGTGACAGGAGGACCGGCTTCTGCTTTGGTCTGTTGCCTTGAGACTCTGGGAAGGCTTCTGGTAAGTAGATGGAAACATGCTGTGAAACTCAGGGGAAAGGCCTGAACATAGCTCCAACAGGGGATCGGAACATGGAACCCGCCTCTGCTCCCCAGAACCTCCCTGAATAAAGGTTGATAAAACCCAGCTTTGACACCTGGGTTGAATATGTGAAGGACTGACTTCACAGGTCTAGGAAGGACCTGGATCCAGCTAAAGCCAGATGGTCAATTCTGTTCTCCCCAGGGAGGAAGTAGTGGGGAGCAGAACAGAGGGGTGGGCAACTACACCGGGCTGCCCTGAAGAAGAGTCACCTAGACAGAGCAGTGGGGGAGGAAAAGGGAGCCAGGAAGAGGAGGCTCCACTCCCAGAGTGGGAGAAGGAAGCTGACAAGGGAGGAAGATGAAGAAGAAGAGACCTCTGAATACATGATTCTTAAGAGTAGCAAGAAAGTGTCACAAGCTTGCGAGCAGGAAGAAAGGAGAATAGCAAATCCAGCTGTTGTAATGGGCTTTCTCCAGATGTGTAATGGAGGAAGGAAAGAGAAAGAAGAAATGGGAAACAGAGAGTCTTCACGGTCCTGTCAAATGTTTAAATGTGTGTTTGTGTTTAGGATGAGAAAGTCGCATATTTGTAGGTGGGGAGAACAAAGAGTATTGAAGGAGGAAATGTAAAAGTAGACAAATGACGGAACAGATTCTAGAGGAGATCAGAGAAAACATCCTCCTGATGATTTGACCGAATGGGGAGATTGGTCCAGAAAAAAAGGCAAGAGGAAAAAAAAAATGTTCTCTGAGATGAGAAAAAAGAAAAGCAAGAAGGGAGAGAAGAACTGGGAGTGGGTAGGTAGAGAGAAGAGGCAGTTCCGTTTGGAATTCAAAGGAGGGAAATTAGGAACTGAACCCTTGCTGGTCTCCATTTTTTGGGGAAAGTGGGAAGCCGTGGCCCTTGCCAGGAGTCTAGGAAGCAGGGCTGAGCATAATGCAACAGCAGGGGGCAGCTGTCACAGAGAACGGGAGTTTACCAGGTCATACCGAGGGCTCAGTTGTCTCTCTGAACAAGAACAAAGTCAAGGTGGCCAAGATTATGACACCCACTTGTCAAAGAGTGCAAAGACCAGAGTACGCTGGGAATTCTTGGCTATGGAGTCTAGGCAGGAAATGAAACAGTAGAGAAGTGGTACCCAGAGAGGGTTGGGAGGTCAGGAAGTAAGGAAGAGCAGTTTACATGCACAAAGATGGGCACAGATCAAAGAAACCCAAGAGCCAACTGAAAGAGCTCCCAACACCCAATCTGCAACAATGTAAGTAAGCAACAAAACAAAGTGTAACTGTAATCATTAAAAATGTAACTAGGATTCTATATTAGTATGAATAAATGATAGAATAAATAATACAAATTAGAAAGAAAACAGAGATTCCCCAATGCAGAAGAATATAAAATAATTTATGTAGGTGTTCTGTCCTCAAGAGAAAGGAACATATGCCAGGATTAATGTACTCCCTGTTACTTGGAAGGGGAAGCTGAGACTGAAAGGGTCACGAGTTTAAGACCTACCTAGCTACAAACAGAGTACATTCAAGGCCAAACTGAACAACTTTTGAGACTCTGACTCAAAAATTAAATTAAAAGTAGAAGAGCGCTGAGGATGTAACTCAGTGCTAGAATGATTGTTTGCTTAGAGTGTACAAAGCCCTGGGTTCAATCTCCAGCATCTCTGCCTCTGTCTCTGTCTCTCTGAAACAGATAGAGACAGAGACAGAGACAGAGACAGACAGATGAGGAGAGATAGGGGAGGGGGCAATTGATATCCTAATTTGCTTTCTGTTTTCTGTGATAAACATCATGACCAAAAACAACCTGGGGAGGAAAGGATTGATTTCAGCTTATAATTCCACATCACAGTCCATCATGGAAGGAAATCAGGGCAGGAACTGAAGTGAACCATTAAAGAACGTTAATTACTGGCTTGCTCTCACAGGTTCATGATCAGCTTGATTTCTTATATACCGAAGGACCACCTGCCTAGGGATAATGTTGCCACAGTGGGCTGGGACCTCCAAGATTAATCATCAATCAAGCCAGTTATTCACAGATATGGCCACTGGCCAATACAATCGATGCAATTCCCAGGTGACTCAAGGTTGTGTCAAGTTGATGGTAAAAACTAACCAGTACAGTTGGAATATCAGAGCAGAGAGACCAAAATACTAACAAGAGAAAGAAAGTGAGACTTTTTGACAGCAATGCCTTACACCAAAACACCCAAAAACATGTGAACTATGGATTTTATACCCAGCTAAACTGACCTTCAAGTTGAAAGGCCACAGAGAAACTTTTAATAATGTTCAAGAACTTAAGAATATGTTTGCTATGATCCCTTCTTGAAGAATACACTAGAAAGTTAGTTTCAGAAAATAAATATAACCAGGAAGACAGCTACACAAGTACTAGTAACAAACACTAAGCATAATTTAACTTTAAATCTTAGAACAAATGATGGTGCTGGAGAGATGGCTCAGCAGTTAAGATCACTGGCTGCTCTGGCAGAGGACCAGAGTTCAGTTCCCAGCACCCCCATGGCAGCTCACAGCCATCTGTAACTCCAGTTCCAGATGATCCAACACCCTCTTCTGGCCTCTGAGAGCACTCACGGCATGTGGTGCACAGATGTGCAAGCAGGCAAACACTCATTCATACAAAATAAAAATAAATTTGGTCAGAAAAAGAAGGAGAACGAGAAAAAGGGGAAAAAGGAGAAGAAAGGGAAGAAGGAGAAGAAGAAGAAGGAGAAGAAGAAGAAGAAGAAGAAGAAGAAGAAGAAGAAGAAGAAGAAGAAGAAGAAGAAGAAGAAGAAGAAGAAGAAGAAGAAGAAGAAGAAAACTATCAGGTGGTGGCGCATGCCTTTAATCCCAGCACTTGGGAGGCAGAGGCAAGTGGATCTCCCGGTTTGATGACAGCCTGGTCTACAGAGTAAGATCCAGGACAGCCAGGGCTACACAGAGAACCCCTGTCTTGAAAAACAAAAAAGGGACAAATGATGATTCTAAGTTATATAGGAGACTGGAGCAATATCTCTGCAGTTAAGAGCACTGGCTTCTCTTGCAGAGGTTCTGAGTTCTCCTTCTGTCCAGTGATAACTGATCCAGGAGTAATGATAGAAGACTGAGACATATCAATCAATAAAAGTAGCTACGAAATCAGCAAAAAGTTTTAAAGAAACAGCTTATTCAAGAACAGAGAGAGAGAGAGAGAGAGAGAGAGAGAGAGAGAAAGAGGAGACAGAGAAATAAAAGTAGATATAGAACTTATAGATTAATAGCTGCTAAGAGCCATATTGAACAGTCACAGGATACAGACCTTTCTGAACCCTGATCCCAGTAAACTTGGAAAAAACTGTAAGACAGTTAATGAGGTGTGTGTGTGTACTCGCAGCTGACAACTAAGGGTAATTAACTTACTTGGGTGTAAAAGTAGTGTTGGGCACTTTGCAGGGCATAAGAAAAATCAAGGTGGACTTGACCTGAAAATTTCCCCCCACTGGTAGTGAGATGCCATAAAGGCCACTGGGTAGGAAAGTTACCAACGGTATCAATGGTGTTACCCAGCAGTGAACCTTAGCCTGCAATACCAACTTGGTGGCAAGATATGCCCACCATTGCAATAGTGGAGCGGAGGTTATGGGGGAGGGTAACAAACCACCTCTGGATGGATCTGAGGCCTCCTCCACAAGCAGGAAGTCGTGTCTGGTACTGCAAACCTGGTCAAGAGCCCACAGCTCAGGAGAGCACAGGCCCAGGGTGGAGCGACTGTTGTTCTGCTAAATGGATATAGTCTCAAACTGACGCCTGAATATTTATATTTGGCCTGGGAGACGGCTCGGGGATTAAGAGCACCGGCTGCTCTTCCAGAGGATCTGGGTTTGATTTCCAGCACCCACATGGTGTCTCACAAGCATGTGCAACCCTAGTCCCAGGGATCCAACACCTCCTTCTTGCTTCCTCCAGCATATGATGCACAGACGTCAACGCAGGCAAAACACTCTTACACATAAAAATAAGTTCAATTGTGTGTGTGTTTGTGTTTATACCCACAGATTAGTGCACCTCAATACTGGTCATTCCACCAGAGAAAGTAGATCGTGTAAAGACTCAGACCTAGTCAATATACTGAGAATAAGCAGACAGGAAGTGCCCAGCCCTACATGGGACATCTGTAGGATGTGCCCACTGCTCAGAGAAAAAAAGGAAAAAGATGTAAAAGCCGTAAGACAGGGAGGCATGCTGTGAAACTCAGTCTTCACGCATGAGCTCACGGCAGCTGCATTCACCTGCATGAGATCAAGCAAAGAGACCAGCCAGTGTTCCAGAAAGCTGCAAAATTGGACTCTGGGTTATAAGAATTTTTTTTTTTAATTAAAAAAGTGGAAGACAAGGGCAGTGGTGGCGCACACCTTTAATCCCAGCACTCGGGAGGCTGAGGCAGGCAGATCTCTGAGTTCAAAGTCAGCCTGGTCTACACAGTGAGTTCCAGGACAGTCAGGGCTACCCAGAGAACCCTTGTCTCGAAATGAAACAAAACAAAACAAAACAAAACAAAACAAAACAAAAAAACAGACAAAAGAAGAGAAGAAAGTATGA